GATCCCAGAAGCCTCCAAGAGGTTCCACGGGGTCCCGAAGTTTGCCCTCGTTGGGGGCTATTCGGGCGGACTCCAGCTCCGGTTTGGCCATCCAGCGCGAGCTCTTGAAATGCCTGAATGGTTGCCTTGGGGGTCAGCCCAGGCTGATCCGGCGCTTCGGACGGCTGCCCCCCCCCTCTCTATGTCACCGCATGTTCATACCCTTTCCTGCCCAGGAGAACTGGCCAAGAGTTCATGTGGGATGAGCTGGCGGAAAGATGCGCTCCCACGGGTATTCGAGGTCCCCGCGGAAGGTCCAGCAGGCCTGCAGAGGCCCCAATGGGAAAGCGAAAACCCACCCTCACCCCCAGTCCCGACCCCATCCCCGAACCCGAGATCCAGGGGGTCGGGACTGGGGGTGGGGGTGGCCTTTCGGAGCCCAAGAATGGAGAAAACCCACCCCCACCCCCCGATCCGACCCCTTGAATCGCTGGCTCGGGGATGGGGTTGGGACTGGGAGTGGGGGTAGGTTTTAGCCTTCTGACCCAAGAGGCCCCGAAGCCAAAGCAGCGATCCTGGCGAAGGACCCCTCCACATGCAAGCACGAGCACCGCAAGGCAGGTGGGACGAAGGAGGCGATCTCCCCATGGGGCCACAAAACGTGCGATGGGTGCGACGACCAGGGCGGGGAGCCGCATGCGGACGCACCCACTAGAGGCTGAGGTGAAGCTCCCTATGGGGCCACGAAACGTTTGAGGGTTGCGCCGGAATGGAGGGGAACAGCTTTGGACGCACCCGATGTGGTCTCAGTGAAGCCCCTTTATGGCGCCACGAAAAATTGAGGATGCACCGAAATGCGCTGGGGGGCGCCGTGTGCTTCCCTCCCCTGGGGGTGTCGGTGGAGCTCCCTTTTGTAACACGAAACGTGTGAGGAGTGTGCCGAAAGTGGCTGGGGGGCACTATACGGCACCACCCTCATGGGGCATTCGGTGACTCCCTATGAGGCAACGGAGCGTGTAAGGTGGGGGGCGAGATTGGCGAGGGGACGCTATAAGGCAGCACCCCCTGGGGGCGTGGGGGAGCTCCCTGTAATGCTGCACGACACGCGTAGGGGTGTGCCGAAATGAGCGGGGGGGGCGCTGGAAGGCACCACCCCCTGGGGGCTAAGGCGACACGAAACGTGAAGGGTGTGCCGAACGGGGGGACGCTACAAAGCAGCATCCCCTGGAGGGTTTCGGTGGAGCTCCCTATGGGGCCACCAAACGCGTAAAGGGTGTGCCGAAGTGGGCGGTGGGACGCTAATGAAGCATCCCCCCTCGGAGGCTTCGGTGGAGCTCCCTATGGGGCCACGAAACGGGTGAGGTGTGTGCCGAAATGGGCGGGGAGACGCTAGAAGCCCCCCCCATATGGGGCCACGAAAGTTGTGAGGGATGTGTCAAAATGGACATGCGGACGGCTGAAGCAGGGATGGGAGGAGGGAGGAGAAGGGCGAAGAGGAAGGAGTGACGCGGGGAGCTGGCCCTTCAAAACGAGGACCCAACACCAAAGGATGGTTGGGAAAGGGCCACCAAAAAAATGAATGAACGACACTCTATCCTCGACCCCCTTCCTCCTCGCGAGAAGCCCAAGTTGTTCACACTGCAGCTGGATAAAATTCGTTTCCTGGTCTTGGGGGCGCCACAAAGGCACAGCCCCGATCCTTAGCCGCACACCGTGGGAAGCAAAGGGCCCCAGCAAATGGGAGTCAGTCAGGCAAGCATCCTGAATAGTCCCGTACAGGTCCGTCAAGACTCCTCCCGTCATCACCTGCACGCAGCAGAATCATCCTCAACATCTTCTCCATCAGCATCATTCATCCTGCTCTTCCTCATTATCCTCTTCCTCCTCCTCCGCATCATCATCATAATCAGCATCATCAGCAGCATCAGCATCAGCATCAGCATCAGCATCAGCATCAGCATCAGCATCATCATCATCAACATCATCATCGTCATCATCATCATCAGTATCAGCAGCATCCTCATCATCATCATCAGCGGCATCAGCATCAGCATCACCATCATCAGCAGCATCATCAGCAGCATCATCATCATGAACATCATAATCCTCATCGTTATCATCATCATGAGCATCAGCATCAGCATCATCATCATCAGCAACGTCATAGTTATCATCATCAGCAGCAGCAGCGGCAGAACCATTGTGTTGCTCCTCATTATCATCATCATCATCCTCGTCCTCCTCCTTCGCTTCCTCCTCGTCCTCCCCCTCCCCATCATCATCATCATCATCGTCGTCCTCTTCCTTGCTGGTCCGTCCTCATCCTTTCACTCCTACCATCATCAGGCTGGGCTGAGGAGAAGGAAGAGAGGGAGAATCCACAAAAGGTGGGGGAACAGGAGCAGGAGGAGAAAAAGGATGAGGAAAAGGAGGAGGAGGAGCAGCAGAAGGAGAAGGAGGATAAGGATAAGGATAAGGCCCTTGGGGGTCTGTCAACTTCGCCCACCGACAGGCATGCCGACCCCTGGGAAAACATGGATGCGAGCCCCGATTCACCACCTATAGGCTGTGAGGGCCGCCTGAGGCGACGGGGCCCGCCTCCGTTGAGACGCGGTCCCCGAGCCTCGCTAGCAGGGGAACCCTGCCTCGGTTGAGCGCTGGAGCTGGCGCAGGCGGAGGGGAGCTGCCGCACTCTGTGGGCGCACCCCCCGCCGCTGAGAGCCCACCCACCCTCGCCCCCCTCTCCCCCCCCCCCCCCACCCCCACCCCCCCCCACCCTCATGGCGGCAAGAAAAAGAAAAAAGAGAGGGGCGGCCTTGTACTTGGTGGACGCGTCCCGTCCCCACTCCCATCATCCGCTCACACACGGCTCTATCCAAGCAGAGGAAGGCTATGAAGGTGGCGTGGCCGCGCTGGCTCACACAAGGAATGCTGTGCCCATCTCTACTGCCTGGGTCGAGCGTGCGGTGCTCTCGCGGGGGAAAAAAAAAAAGGCCTGAACCGATTGGAAACAGCTCTCAGCTCACGACATCGCCCCGAGCCCGATGCCCCAGCCTGCCGCCGACGCCGTCCTTGGCGACAAGAGACGCACGTCTCTACTCGGAGCTGCGCCTGTGCTGCGGTCGGCCTTAGTCGCGGCGACTGGGGCCTCGGCCACGACCACCCCGCGCTGCTCCCAGCCCTGCACGCTCTTGCTCGGGCTCGGGCAGGCCGGCCTGAGCGTGGGCTGGAGGAGGTCCTGCTGCTTCGTCACCGCCGCCATCGCTGCCGTCGCACTCTGGGTTGTGAAGAATGCCTCGTCGTAGGCGTAGCCCTGCGGCCCTTTGGTCCAGCGGGTGTAGATGTGGTCGATCTCGTCCGCCTGGCGCCTCATGTAGTCGAGCTCCCACGGCATCGGCCCGTGCACCATCTTGCCAAGCTTGTCGTCCGCGGTGCCGATCGCGCTCCTCAACGCGCTGATTGCGTGGTGAATGTCGCGCAGCTGCTCTTTGAGGTAGAGCTCTGCCTGGCTGCGTTCAGTTTCTTCGTGCGGTGTCAGGCTCCTGCCGTTCATACGCCCGAGCGTGGTCACCACCCGCTCCCTCTGCTGGTGAAGGACGTGGAGTGCCATCTCGCCGTATTTGGTTGCCTCCGTGAACGCCTCGGACGTGCTCTGGAGTGTGTTGTGCGCGACCTCGAGCCTGTACGCCACCGTGCCCGAGACCTGGTCAGCCACTCCGTAGCCCCCCCTGTCGTGGGGCTTCTGCACTACCGTGGGCTGCGGGTTGAGCTCCGTTCCTGCTGCTGCTGGCTGCTGCTCAGTCGCCCCCGCTTGCTCCGCCGTCGTCGCCTGCGCCGCCATGGCTGCCCAGGTCGTGGGTCCACGAGAAAAGTAGGCGGCGTCCATGTTCTGACTTGTTGGTGTCCTGGGTCTGCTTTTACAATGCCCTGGAAGTCGCGAGAAAGCTCGAGTCGCAAATGTCCACTGATGGTATGTCGGACTGGGTACTGGGTCTCGGTTTACCTTAGTTGACCCCTCCTGGCTGTTGTTCACCTTAGGCGGTGTAGTAGTTCTGTTAGTTCCCAAAAGGTTGGAGCGGAAAGGGACCGTAGTGGGAGCCTTGGGGTAGGAGTAGGCGTAGGCTCGGTAGTTCGCTGGAGTCGGGATCCGAGGTCGGGCCACACGCGCATGGCTGTGCTGAATGTTGTGGTGTGATAGTTCCCAGTGCGGTCGTGTCCCTAGTACGCAGTATGTAAACTGTAGCCGTGTACTGTCGTGCTGCTGTGCGAAGTCCAATACGAAAATCCCTGAACGTGGGCCCCGATTCCTTTATGCTGCTCGGGACCTTATGTGAGGCTGCATGTCCCTATTAGAGGCCTAGGTGAGCTGTCTCGCTGTTTTGTCCACTCCCGAGGCTGACGGCGCAACTACAGCTCTAAGATGGCGGTAGAGGCTGCGGAAGACTGGGGACCAGAGTCACAAATACGTCGGCGCCGATGTGGGCATCAGCAGTCGCATCTGACAGAGGAGCCGCGCGCGGGGGGAGATCGACTGCGAGCGGAACTAGTCGTGAGCTGAGAGCCTGAGGAATAGTAGGTTGGAATTGGCGTGGGAGGGGGGCGTAGGTGGTGGGAGCCCGTGTAATAGTAGGGTGGCGGCTGGTTAAGTAAGTCAGCCGTCCACCCTTATTTTTTCGCCAGAGGCTGGTAGTAGTCCATTGGCCGTAGGTCCCGATAGTATGTAGCCATCCGAGAGAGGTAGGCCATTTGGCCTCCGTGTTGTTCGGCCTGGCCCCTGAGACTCGTCATACGAACAAGGTCTGTGCTGATCTGCTGTGCGATTTTTTCCTCTCGAGTGACTGGCGGAGCAGAAAGTGGCCAGGCACGAGGGCGCCCCATGGAGTTGAGGCGTGACTCGGGAGCGCTAATCGGCGCCGAGCTGGCGGCGCCGCTAGGCTGCGAGCCCGGTGGGGGCTGGCCCGCGGGGCTCTCTCGCTCGCGGCGGGGCGAGCTGCTGGGCTTCGGCTGGGGCGTGCCTTGGCTCACCTCCTGTTGAGCTGCGCCTCCACGGCCCTCTCCAGGCCCGTCTTCGGGCCCCCCGAGCGGCTCTTCATGGCCCCGAGGTGCGCCAGCGCGTGGCCCAGCGCCTGCTTGAACATGTCCCCCTTGAATCCCGAGATCTTGTCGTACTGCTCCTGCTCGAGCTTCTGGTCGTACAGCACCGCCCTGAAGCTCGGCGCCGTGTTGATCGTGTAGATGAGCTTGGCCTTGCACTGCTTGATGTCCATCTCCACGTCGTCGCCCGTCTTGTTGTACGCCTCCTGAATCTTGCACTGCAGGAAGACCTCCGTGATGAAGATCGGTCCCCAGGGTTCGTCGAGCTGGCTCATGAATTATTTCAAGAGCTGCCTCACGTGGAGGAGGGGCGCGTCGAGCTTCTGCTCCTCCGCGTCGAGCACCGCCACAATCTCCTCGACCAGGCTCGCCGCGACCTGGCCGCGCGGTGGGCCGAGGCCGTGCCCCTTGCCCAGCTGTTTCACCTTCCGTCCGTACTCTTTGCCTGTCTCCATCGGCGCCTGCACCCAATCTGGCTCGAGCGGCGTCAGCCAGAACTCGCCCGTGAGATGCAAGAAGTTGCGAATCTCGTTCGAGTTCTGGAGGGTGAGCCTCTGGAGCGATCTCAGCTGGTCCCGCAGCTCCACCTGGCCGCCGCCGCCGCCACCACGGCCTCCTCCTGGGGGTCCTCGACCGCCTCCGCCTCGGCGCTGTGCGGCGGGCTGCTGTTGCTGCTGGGGCGGCTGCTGGGGCGGCTGCTGCGACTGCGGTGCGTCTGCCGAGCCGGCTCCGCCGCCGCCCAGGTGCGGGCGCTGCAGGGGCGGCTGCCCCTCTGCTGCGCCCCCTCCTCTCTTCGTGCTGGCCCTGATGCGCCAATCGCCGTGGCCCCCGTGCAACATGAGCTCCCTCACCCCGTGCCGCTCTGATCAACTCTGGCCCTGCAATGTGCTCGCGAATGTGTGCGTGCTATTCCTCGAGAGTTTGAGCCTCGTGGTTACAGATCGGGCAGGTGAGGGAGCTTGGGTCGGAGATAGGGTGGGACCACATCGACCTGTCTTGGTGGCAAATACCGTGGCCGTGGACAGCCCTGGTCGCATGGTCGACACATACCTTACGATTGATAAATGTGCTCTTGCACCAGGGGCACTGGTTGTTGACGATTACGGACGCCACCACTGGTCGGATGTTATGGGACTCTCGGCGATGCCCAGCTAGTGCTGCATATGTCGCAAAGCGCATGCCACACATCTGTTCCGCGCCGTGTTCGTCCGTCGTCGTATGATCGCACCAGTAGGGTTTCAGTAACTCCTCCTCCCTGCCCTCCTCCCCCTGCAGCGTCGTATCTCGTGTCGTAAGCACGTCCCAGTTTCGCTCGTAACTGTACAATATTGATGGGTCTGTTTGCAGCCAGTGTTTTTGTTCCGTACTCCCCTGTTCAAATATGGCCAGGTCCGAGTCCCTCTCTGCATACCATCCCATGCTCTCGTCCACCTTGGCTAACGCCTGCATGTCGACTGCGAACTGCTGTGCCCACGGGGTGGAGGAGGGTCCCACAAAATTCTGCCCGTCGAGTCGCTGAATGCCCTGAGCCGCGTCGAGTTTGGATGCCCCGAAAACCGCTGCGATAACCGCTCCGTGCTCCCAAGGGTGCCTAGACCAATTCTGGTACCACCGCAAACGTCGCACGAGTAAAGATACGGATGTGCGCTCGAGCCTCCAATATCTAAACACCTGTCGCAAGGTGTTGCACCTTACGGTCCCATCCGCTCTGGTCCACGACATGGCGCCTCCCGCTAGCGTCCGTAGGTATTTGCCTAGTACACTGTCGATTGCCGTTGTGTGGGCATCTGTCAGAACTAACGCTGGCAATCCGCTGAGGGCCGCACCTACGACGAAAGCCATGAACATCATGCGTTTTATATGCCGGGGCACCTTAGAGGCCCAAAAGATCCCACATTGTCGCCATGCGACGCGGATGGCTGCGATACGCCGTACGACCTCGCCTGTGATACCCTGACCAGCTGGTAGGTAAGGGCCGAGTACACGTATTTCCCTCAACGCCTGCCCCTGCAGTGTTCTGCTGCGCCTGAGTTGTCTGGTCTTTCCGTAACAGCCTTGCCCTACTAAATATAGTAGGTGGTTGGTCTTGGCGTTGTTAAGACCCCATCCTCCTGCTGCAATTGTTTGGGAAAGGCGTTCGGTGTTGTTGTTGAGTTGGTGTTCGATATCGCCAGCCGTCGATGTAGGTAGGATCGTCTGCACATAAGTGATGTCGTCCATGAACGTGTTGAGGGACAAGTCGTGGGTGTTGCCTGCGACTGGGTTAGACGTGTCGCGGATGGTTTGGTCTGGGTCCGTGCGGCCTTGTTCCCACCATTTGGTGACGTACAAGTTGTATGCATCGTTGAATTGCCGCGGGCAGAGGGTGAAGCCCATTTGAGCACCTGTGGTGCTCTCAGCTTCGACGGCGCCGTCGGCAGCTTCGAGCGTCAAGGTGGAGTGGTCAATGGCTGCCATGGCAAAGCGCTGATCGTGCTCGTGGGCTTGCTTGAAGGCAACTGCTCTGAGTAGGGCTCGGTTGGTAGCTGCGAACGCGTTGGTGCCGTCGTAGTTGGTGGCGATTGTGCTCACCCCCCCTTGGGCGGCTCTCCGTTGGGCCGCTTGCACACAGAGGATGGCGTTTTCACGGCAGCGGTGCGGGAGGCCTCCTTGGGCCCAAGGTGCATGCGATGGGGGAGAGCCACGTAAGTGGATGCCTGAGTGCCAAGCCATTCCGAAGGAATCGTACACGTGTAGTATACGCTTCCCTAGTATCCCATCTTTGTTGTTGTGTTTTTCTGCTGGGAATGCTTGTGATCGATGCCAATCCAAGGGAGTAACCTGACAGCTTCGGCACTGTGCGAGAAATTGATCAAGGTACTGCATATAACCTTTGCTGTGATCTGCAATCTTGCCAGCACCTACTCCTGCAAACCTGCCCCTCCCCACTGAGTAAGATTGCTGCTCCCAGGCGGCTCCTTCTGTCCCATCCGTCGCCGTCGGCACGCGACCCAACCTAGTACCGTCTGTCCACCCCATCCGTTGGAGCAGTTCCCTCCCCTTTTTGCACCGTCCCAATGTCGTGTAGTGTGCAAGCTCGTCTTCGTCCCCTCTCTTCTCTGCAGCTGCAACTCGCTTTTCTTCTAGGCGCTTGCTGAGCTCTGCTGGGTCCTGAAGGTGGAGAGTGGGGTCGATCATCAACCATGTCATCTCGATCGGGATGCCCCAAGGCGGCCAAGCCCGTCGCTTGCTAGCTCGCTGACAGTACCTGCGCATCGCTCGCTTGTCCGCCTCGACTTGGAAAAGTAAATCGCGGTCGGTCGGCAGTCGGTCGATGTTTTCCTGGACGTAAGCCTCGTGCACGGCTCGCGCGGCGTTCCTATCGATGGGCCGCGCTCCTAGCCCCCCTTCAAAGGCTGGGTGGGCAAGCTCCTGATACCAGTAGTCGCGTGGCCAGTGGGTTCGGGCTGATCGGTAGTACCTTTTTTTGGGCCCGCGACCGTTCCGCTGGCACTGTATACGTAGTCGGTGCATCTCGGCAAGGTTCCGTTTTTCGTAGGCCTCCCAAATGCGTTCGACCAGAAGCGCCCTTCTTTGTTTCTCGACACCTTCTCGGGCCTGCTTCAGCGCAGCTGTGATCTCGTTCAGCTCGTTTTGTACCCTGTCGTAGTCGTCGGCACACTGTTCTGGGGTGAGGCTCTGTCGCAGTGCTCTTCGTTGCCTAAGAAGTTCGAGTCGGTGTTGCTTGGCTCGCTTCGCTAGCTGGTCGATCTCATCGGGAGAGCCGTTTTTTTTTTTTCCGAAGGTCCTGAGCATGGCCGCACGTGCCGCTCCCCCCAAAAGGTCCCAGGTCTCGTCTGGCGTCGCCGCCCCCAGTGCCCTCTCCCACTGCTCCCCACACACCTCCTCCACCTCCTTGTCGAGTTCGGTGAGCAGCATCTCCCTCTTGCGGCCGCTGCGTAAGCATTCCATGAGGCCGTCCCTGCACAGTCCCTGTTGCAGGCGGGCGCGCGTAGGGAAGGAGGTGGTGGTGGTAGAGGCGAGGAGGGTGAGGCCGATGGGGAGGTGGTCCCTGCGTCCTCGTACTTTTACTTTTTGGAGCCTTTTACCTGACAGATGGAGGACCTCGCACCTTTTTATGAGTCCCAGGGCCCCTGTGGGTACAACGATGTGGTCGATACGGCTGTTGTAACCTGACTGCCCATAGAAGGTGGGTTCAGCAATGTGGTAGGTAGTAGCAATACTAAGGTCGCTGGTCCGGCACAGGGTCCTGAGGCTCGTGCCGTTGGAGTTCTCAATCCTGGGCTCCCTGTCTCCTACCGTCGGTTCTCTACTTCGCACGATGGTCCCGTCGGTGTCTCGCTGGCAACCAAAGTCGCTGTTCACATCACCGCCCATCACAATCGTCGTACGGCTGCCTACTCTGTCGACACACTGCTCTAACCATTTAGTTATAGCGTCTGCTAGTGGCACGTAGTACGAGAGATGGGTGGGGGCGCAGTAGTAGACAAAGAGTACGTAGTCGCATTGGCTAGTCGAGAGGCGAATTCCTGCGACCCGTCCCTGGAGGCTGGTCGGTGGAGTGTAGATCTCTCGTAGGCTGCGCTCGTCGATTCTCTGACTGATGAGGATCGTTAGTCCACAGCTTTTGTTGATCCACTTCCCTTTGCGGGCACCGAATTGTAACACGTAGTGGTTAGGGAGATAGCGTCGCTGCACTGCTTCTGCCCCCGCCCATCTACATGTGCCACTGAGGGAGATAACGTCCCAACTGTGTAGTTCGCTCATCTAAAGAGACATCTGCACACCCTGACGGAAGTCCAAAGACCGTCACACATCCCAGAGAAGAGGAAAGAGGTTGGAAGACGAGGCAGGGCAGGGGAGGAAGACATGAAGAATTTGATACCTAGGAGCAGCCCCATGCGCTCGGCCACGGCGTCGGCCTAGGCATCGTAGAAGCGAAACAAATTTGACAATGATTCTGCCAATGAAGCTGCGGTCAAATGGATCATGAAATCCTGCCTCACAAGTGACATGCCAAATCACATTGGCAACTACACTCCGAGATATTGTTCAACACGACCTCGAGGGCTCTGGATCCAATCCAGACTCAGGCCGCAGGCCTCGCGAGGTAGACTTTCTGGATCAAGCGCACGGGCTTGGCTGGATCGAGCGCACGGGCTTGGCAAGGATTTCGCGATTCCCGGGCCGAGCTGCACCGGCGAGTCGGCGACCAGGAGGCATGGCCCGCGATGAAGCAACAACCCTGGACCTCCCGCGCGCACATGCTTAGGAACGTCGTCTCGCCGCCCGCCTCGCGAATTAACCGCAGCTGGAATATGTCCCCGCCCAATCACGCAAGCAACTCGTCCGCTGATCCGCGGCCCTAACGCCGAGAAGTCATCAGCACGCCGCCGCACCTTTTGCTTGTCGCGGGCCCCCATGAACGGGCAGCTGCCGCGCCGCCTTCTGACAGAACCCATAAACTACACTTCATTCGCACTGCGACGCCCCCTTGCATTCGCCCCCCCCCCCCACCCCCACACCACCACACCACGCCACCCCCTCAAGTCTGGGAAAATACAAAAAGCCCCCCACACATCAGATCATTCAGGTACTTCACCCCCAGGGGAGACCCCAATAAGAAAGGATCCCCCGTCGACGCGGCCCGGACACACAACGCCCCACTGCAATCCCCGAGTGCCACCACAGGTTCAGTTACCTTGGCGGTGAGAAGCAGTGCCTCCGAATGTGGCATCAGCGGGTCGCCGCCGCTGACTCTTCCTGCTACCGCGCGCGAAGAGCGCGCGAGCGCGTGTCTTCCCACTTGCCAAACGACGCCTCGGACGTCGCCTCGCAGTGGAGGGACCACCTTTACTATCTGCTCCCCTTCTCTCGACATCTTCACCAGGTGCCCCTTCCACCCCGTCGAGAACTCACCCGCGTCCGAACCCGAGCGGATCCCGTTGACAGCGACCACCAACTTCTCGCACATCTCTTGCAACACGTAGGCCACCACGCTCATGACCGCGATATGAGACCCGTCAGACTCATGATGAGCCATCCTAACATTCACAGCCCCTCTCGGACCCCGCGCCATGGGCGGGACAGACGCCGCCGCAACCGCGTTGCCCCAGAACCAGGAGGTCGAGGGAGCGCCGTTCTCAGGGTCGCAAGGGACAACTCGGTCCTCACCCTGTTCGCCCGCAGCCTCGCCCTGTCGGTGCTCATGTGGTCGCGCGGCGTTCCTGGCGCCGCCGCCGCTGCTGGGGCGGCCGATGCCTCTGCTCCTCCTCCTCCTCCTCCTCCTCCTCCTCCTCCTCCTCCTCCTTCTTCCCCTCTTCCTCTCCTACCCCTGGGCAGGAAGACGCCGGGGCGCGGTCAGGCCCTGCAATTAGCTCTGCATCGGCGGCATTGCCATCGAAGCCAGCGTCGCCCCCCAGAGCGCCCATGCCATCTTATCGAACCAGGCTTGATCACATCCTCGACCCTCAACCTTCCGCCCGATCCCCCTCGACCTGCACGCCACCGTCGGTGCGCGGCCAAGACGCCCGCCCGCAGGCGCGTCTCGCCCGAGCCAGCTACCCTCCAACAACAGCAACTCCAGCGTCTTCAACTTGCGCTCCAGGCCTCCAATATATCACTGCCTCCCCCCGGTCGGCAACGAGTGGCCCTGGCACATCAGCGCGCGAGACGTCTTGCGCGGCGCGAGGTCCGCGCCCGCCTTGGCCGAGCACCCAGCGCAGAGCCACTCCGCGAAGCGAGGAGGCCACTTCAGAGGGGCGAACAACCCCACACTAATAGCCCTGCCCAGTCTGTTCGACGGCGCCAACATCAGGGCGCGAACATGCATTATCGTCATCTGCACTGCTTTCTCCGCTCATCCGTTCGCCGTCGATTTGCCACGCCCGACCTGCTCTGCGAGGATTTGACCGCGCGCGCTTCGCATTCGACGGCGGCGGCCCCCAGCGCCGCGGTGAAGGGGAACCCATCTCCGACTCCAAGCTGCCACTCCACTCTCGGTTGCGCCAGCCCGGCCAACCGCGAAGACGCCGACGCCGCGGCGCCTTCGTCGTCACGGCCCGCCTGGATGATAACACTGCTTACGCTCTGCCTGTCGAAGCGTCACTTCCCGCGACGAGCTCAGCGCCCACTGGATCGACCTTCTCGCCTGCCTCGCCGTAGTCGAAGCTGACTGCGAGGACGATCGCGCCCTTCCTCTCTATCTTCGGGCGCGCCATGTCGTTAGCCTTCGCCTGCGCGCACACGTAGCACCATGGCTCTGCCACGATGCGGGTCATCTCGCGTCGTTCGATATCCCCTGCACTCGGTTCGCTCTCGACTACGCCATCTTACGCCATGGCCACTGGGCACTCCCAGGCGCGCCCTCGGGCACGTCCACTGCTGGAAGAGGGGCTGCCGCCAGAGCTCACTCCACCACGTGTCCACCATCCTCCTCTCCTGACTGCGACGCTGCTGCCCCAGCAGCTCCTCCTCCATGCAGCGGGGACAGCACTACGATGAGGCGTTGCAGCCTGGACTCCCAGAACTACTGGTCCCCCGAACAATTCTTCCTGGCATCGTAAAACCAACCTACACTTGTCCATCATACCAGGGCACTCGTGTCGGAGGTCTGCTGCAAAACATTCGCGAACTCTTGATCGGCTGCTCCACAAAGGCAACCTGGAACCCGAAGATGATGTTACTATCCCCTGCGCTGTAGTGGCGATTGAAGCATGCTCACCAGCGCAGCTGCCCATCAACATCCGCACCTGCTGCAAATATCACTCATCCGGTTCCGTGCTGACGTGGTCGATCATTGAGCTCGTCCTCTGAGATCCTGTCCCACGAGATCCCCATGATTCTTTAACTCGCGCGCCAGTAAGCTCGCCGAAGACCCCACGATTGAAAGCTGCAGCCTGCTTGGAGACAGCCTTACGCCCATCCCCGTCCACACGTCCACCGTTGGAACGACGCTGAAGTTTTTGGTCGCGTACCTCGTTTCGAACACCACCCACACTGACCTCCGCCCTTTGGACCGTCGATTCCTCTTTTCCGCGGCCGACTCTCTCACGCATGACATTCCGCTTGGCTCGGATCTGCACGGTGCCCGTCGACACACACGACATCGGGCCAAGCGTATCGCTCCCCTCGTCCGTGGACTTCTCGCCTCTGCCATCACCCGCGATACCTCCATGACCGCCTCGACCCCTTGCTGGTATGTTGTCGCATCTGCCGCATCTGCAGGCCAGCGCGAGAGCGTCCATCTCCATCTCGTTCGGGTCCTGGCACGGCTGCGGTGGCGATGAGCGTCGCTGGTAGCAATCGCCATATGTCGCGCTGGCCTGTTAGAAGAACAACGCCGTCGTGACCAGGTCGGCACACGATCTCTCATTCCGCACATGTAGAACCGTCCTGATGTTCGCGGCGATTGTCTGTGTAAAAAACATGTTATTGTGGAGCGTAGCGGTGAAAGGGTCTCCCCACGCCGACTCATACCTCCAAGCGTCTCTTTCCCATTCGACACGTTTCTCCTCGAGCTCTGCCAGCGTGCTGGGGCACCGCGTCACACTCGGGATCGACGTCTTGACAATCCTCAACACTACACTCAACGTCTCTCAACCGCATCAGATAAGCGGTTGGTTTCCGTCGTCTAGTCTCCACCACGGCTCGCAGTACCAAGCTCCATTGTTGCCAGTGTCCCTCTCCGCCGTCAACAGTCGGTGAAACAGGGCCTACGCTCTAGCAATACAGTGGTCCTTCTTCTGCTTAACAGATGCATGTTGACCCTTATAAAACATGCGATGATGATGTTATGGAATTGCTAAAAAGGTTGAGCCTGTTTACTGGGATGCATTTAGCCGCTGACTTGGCTCCACCCAATGTAATACATTACGGATTTGACTTCGTTTATACGCCTGTGGATCGCGGCATCCTTATCGTTGATCGCGGACCCGTCGGTCGTGTCGATACTGTCCTGTCCATGTGGGCCCTGGAACCCTTCAAATTGATAGCCAGGATCCGTGTAGGCCTGGAGACCCTTGTCCGTGGATCTATCCCGCTCGCGGTGCGAGGCCGCCTTGGAAGGCTCGGCAGGCAGGCGCCTTGCTGGGGGCGCTCGAGAGCTGACCGATGTAGCCAGCGTGGCTACCATGATAACGCGTGAACCAAAGAGAATGCGGAACGATGAGCTCATGGTATCTTCTCTCCGAAGCTCCGTATAGCAACAGATTGGCACATAGACTCCGCGACTTACCTCGACTCAAATTCGCGTGGTTCGACGAGAACGGCTCCCAAGCTGTAAAGTCAACGTACTAAGTACTGCGCAAAGAAGGCGGAGACGATGACAAGGAGGAGAGCAGGCGGGAGCAGGAGAAGGAGCGATCCACACACGCCCTCCTGTCCCCCGGCCCCTCCCCGAGCTGTCCAGCCTGACACGGGGAGTGGGGGCCTCTGAATGGGGGCCAGAATGGAACGAACCCCAAGATCGCACCGCACCGCCGATGCATCTGCGATGCATCGGCGATGTCAGGATGAAGGAAGCGGGTTTCACATTGCGCCGCGTCGACGATACGATGCAATCTGGAGAGCCCCTTTTACTCTGGAAGGAAGAAGAAGAAGAAGAAGAAGAAGAAGAGGAAGAGGACGAGGAGGCGGCGGTGAACGTGTGCGTGCCCCGACCCGGAGGACCACAAGTGTCCAGCGAGAGAAGGGCTCGCGTGAGCAGGGAACCCCTCCGACCCACACTCGTAGACCCTCCCCATACTCCATCAGGCCCCTTCTACGTGTTATGAAGGGTGTCGGTCCTTGTCGTCGATAAACTTCTTGCAGCAGTTGGGAATACAGAGCAGCACAGTGCCTTAAACGAGTGGGTCGAAATAAAGATGGAGGCATGATCACAAGACAACAGAGGGTGCCACCGCTTCTAGGTATAGAGTGCACTACGCTCACCCTTGTTGTCAAAAAATTACGACGTGATGGGATAAGGTTTCGCAGTCACAGGCCGAGGGGGGGGACAGAGGGGGATAACGACGCATTGGCATGAGGAGCACCCCACTCACAACATGTAGTATGTGGACAGCACGTAGAAGCGTGCGCGCAATACAACAGTCAAGAGTACGCGACACCACGACATGACAAGGCGGCAGGGAATAGTCCAAGAGGTGGGAGCATTCGAAAGACTCCAGCGCTGGTTCGGTAAATCTATGGTCCGCTAAGCCGCGTGACACTCTGAGCCATGAGGAAAATCGTAGAATCATGGCGTCACACCAAAAAACAAATGCACTTCAAGCACAGAGAAATTGGGAATGGGGCATGAGCGCATGGGAATCCAACAATATAGGAGCATGGGGTCACGCAGCACGCGGCATTTGACTCGCCCGAGGTGTCTTTGACACAGGGTGAGGTCCATCTGGAAAAAAGGATGAGAGAACAGCGCACGAGAAGGCTGGCCTGCATGCTTCACGATCTGCGAGGATGGCGACATTGCCTTCAAGCTCAGGTGCAGCTCGACGCACGCGAAGCCCGCGACAATGGACATGAACGCCCCGAACTTTCCCAAAGTATAGCCCCACAGCTCTTTGAAGGGGCCTGCCCGTCCATCATGCTCCCTCCTGGGTAACTACTCTCTCCTCATTGCCCCTGATACGCATTGCTCCCCCAAAGCTCACCCGCTCCCCAGCCATCCAGGGTAGTCAAGGTCTGCGGTGGCGAAGTCCACCCGTGCGTTCAACCTCAAGTATGTCCACTCCGCCAGCTCATACGCATGCTTGTTCTTGAAGATCGTCCTGTTCTCATCGTCGTACTGATCCATAGGATGGATCCAGGGCCGGTTAAACTTGTCCCTTGGGGTCATGGTGCGATTCACGGCCTACGGCGGCGACAGCACATCCCTGCAGCAAAACCAAGAAGGTATTGTGTTGCGCGCGGCTCTTTGCACATGTAGACATTGTACTCTTTAACAAAAAGACAACAAAACAGATGTTTCACAACCATCCTGTGGTGTTGGGTCCTCGTTTGGACTAAAAAGCGCCCCGCGTCCTCACCTTCCTCCTCACCCCCCTCCCTCCTCCCATCCCTGCCTCTGCCCTTCGCGCCAGCCACATTTCGGCACACCCCTCGCTCGCGCCGTGGCCTCATAGGGAGCTCAACCGAAGACCCCAGTGGCAAAGTTCGCATGCGGTTCCCCGCCTATTTCGGTACACCCCTCACACGCTTCGCAGCCTCATAGGGAGCTCCTCCGAAGGCCCCAAATGGCAAAGTTCGCACGCGGTTCCCCGCCTATTTCGGCACACCCAGCACACGCTTCGCGGCCCCACAGGGAGCTCCACCGAAGGCCCCAGTGACAGGTTCGCACGCGGTTCCCAGCCCATTTCGGCACACTCTTCACACGCTTCGCGGCCCCATAGGCAGCACCACCGAAGACCCCAGTGGCAAAGATCCCATTCGGTTCCCTACCCCTCACAAGCTTCGCGGCACCATAGGGGGCCCCACCGAAAGCCCCAGTGGCAAAGATCTCATGCGGTTCCCCGCCGATTTCGGCACACCCCTCACACGTTTCGCGGCCCCACAGGGAGCTCCCCCGAAGGCTCCAGTCACAAAGTTCGCATGCAGTTCCCCGCCTATTTCGGAACACCCACCCTTCACACGCTTCGCAGCCTGATAGGGAGCTCCTCCGAAGGCCCCAAATGGTAAAGTTCGCAAGCCGTTCCCCTCCTATTTCGGCACACTCCTCACACGTGTCGCCACCCCCTAGGCAGCCTCATCGAAGGCCACGGTGGCAAAGATCGCAAGCGGTTCCCCGCCCATTTCGGCACACCCCGCACACGCTTCGCGGCCCCACTGGCAACCCCATCGAAGGTCTCAAATGGCAAAGTTAGCTCGCGGTTCCCCGCCCATTTCGGCACAGCCCGCACACGCTTCGCAGCCTCATAGGGAGCTCCCCCGAAAGCCCCAGTCGCAAAGTTTGCATGCGGTTCCCCGCCCATTTCGGCACACCCCCTCACACGTTTCGCGGCCCCACAGGGAGCTCCCCCGAAGGCCCCAGTGACAGGTTCGCATGCGGTTCCCAGCCCATTTCGACACACTCCTCACACGCTTCGCAGCCCCATAGGCAGACCCGCCGAAGGCCCCAGTGGCAAAGTTCGCATGCGGTCCCCCGCCCCTCACACGTTTCGCGGCCCCCTAGGGAGCTCCACCGAAGGCACCAGTGGCAAAGTTTGTATGCGGTTCCCCGCCGATTCGGCACACCCGTCACACGTTTCGCGGCCCCACAGGGAGCTCCACCGAAGGACCCAATGGCAAAGTTTGCATGGGGTTCCCCGCCACACACGCTTCGTGGCCCCATAGGGACCTCCACCGAAGGCCACAGTGGCAAAGTTCGCATGCGGTTCCCCGCCCATTTCGACACCTCTCGCACGCAGTTCCCCGCCCCACACGCTTCGTGGCCCCATAGGGACCTCCACCGAAGGCCACATTGGCAAAGTTTGCATGCGGTTCGGTTCCCCGCCAATTTCGGCAAACCCCTCACATTTTTCGCGACCTCACAAGGAACTCCACCGAAGGCCCGAGTGGCAAAGTTCGCACGCGGTTCCCCTCCAATGTTGGCACGCCACTCAAACGCTTCGTAGCCCTACGGAGGGAGCTCCACCATATGCTTCAGTGGCAGGATTCGCGTGCGGTTCCCCGCCCATTTCGGCACACTCCCCACCCGTTCCGCAGCCCCATGAGGAGCCCCACCGAAAGCGGCGCCAGAATGCGTCACTCACAACTGCATACGATTGGGCCCATCGCCAGGACAATGTTGAGGGAAGAGAGCGGGGAACAATCGCGAGGCTCCAGTGGTGCTGCTACGAGTCTGTTGATGCATGCCGTGGGCTGGCCTAGGCGGTCAAATACTGCCCCCTGAGACATTCAGCCGCAAACAAATGGAACAACCCGTGATAATGATTGCCCGAACGAGCGGCCGAGGGGCAGGAGAAGGAATGTGGCCCACAAGTCGCGGAACTAAGCCATGGCCCTGAAAATCGGCAATGGCCCTGGGCTCGGGCAGGATCAGAGATAGACAAGAGGGCAGAATATCGGGCGGTTGTAACGATACGAGTTCACCCACAAAACGTATCGGCACTACGACGGGAGCAAGGAGAGGCGAAGGGAGAAGGAGGAGAAGGAGAAGGAGGGGAGAGGCGGAGGAAACAAGCAAAAAAGCCTGGAACAGCGCTCAAGCCAACCTGCCATAGGCGAGCCCTTGCGCGCAGCTGGGGGCTGGGAAATTGGCAGAAATGCAAATTGATAACCCAGATGGCTCAAAAGGCCATACAAATAAACCCACCACAATAGGCGAAAGGAGGAAGGAGCCGGGAGGGGAGGAGGACGGGTAGGAGCGGGAGCAAGACTACACATAATGATACGATAAATGTCCTCACTCGCATCGCGGCGAAGCGGGCACGATAACCCAATAGATCACGAATGAATCCATGGTTGAAGCGACTGGCGCGCCGAAGACCGAGAGGAGGGGGGACAACGGAGCACGCGCGCAGAGAAGCACGTGGCCGCTAGCTGGCCTGGCGGGGTCTCTTGAAAGCTATTTTGGCGAGATGCTGGGCACGAGCATGGCCACAGACCGCCTCGCGGACGAAGCCGCGGAATGCGTCGGCTGCATCTGCGGTGCGGAGGCCGTGCCTGCAAAAGGCGACTTGTGGCGTCCAAAACCTGGACTGCAGCGCCGTCCAAAGCGCGTGAAACCTCTGTAGGAGACGCTTGCCAGGACGCTGGAAAGGGAGCTTCGAAGGAGCTGCGGAAAGGCTTCTGGCACGCGTTTTGGGAACGAGTGGGAAAACGCTTCTCGGGACACGCTGCAGGTTCAAACGAGGCGCTCTGGGGATGCTGGACCGGCGCCGGAAAGAGCTGCCAGGCCACCATGCGCTGCCAGCTTCTAATCTGGAACCCTCATAGCTCTCAAGAGCTATCCGGGAAAAATGCCAATCGCCCAGAGTGCCACTGCCGTGGCCTTGGAGCGGCCGTCCAGGCAGTGCGGATGTGGAGTGTGCCACAGAAAGCGAAATACTAGGGGCTGTCCTCCCCTCGCGGGCACTTGAAGAGGCGCCCGCCGGCCCTACCAAAGCGGCGGGCTGTGATCCGGCCGACCCGAGCAGTAAGAATTTGACCCGCCTGAGCTCCAGGAGGGAAGAAAGGAAAGGCAATGGCGAGAGTGTTGTGCCACCGAGCGGGCCGATGGCCGTGTAAAGGACAAGAAAGCGTTATGAAATCAGACTCGCAATTGGCGAGCTTCGTGGGGATGGCTGGCAATTCCTTCCTCGTACCCAGGGTCTCGGCCCGGTGAAATTTCACGATATGTAAGGCCAAACCCTCCTCATGCGACGCCACTCGCTGGTCTTAGCTGAGCCGAACTGAAGGCCTGCTTGAACCACAAGGTCTGAACCCCCATGGCCGTGGTTGAAGGGTGAAAGACCTACACCCGCGGGCTGGTCCACTCGTCAACCAGGGTGGTGTGCGCTGGCGGGTCAGCAAGCACAGCCTTCAGATAGCGCACTCGCGTCGTGCCTCCTGCGAACGCCTTGACGCATAACGCGATCGAGAAGTCACCAATCATAAGCGTGGGCCAGGCCCCGAGTGAGCAAATCATAAGGAGAACCAGGGGCTTGGAACCCCTCGTGTCCTAAGAACCTTCAGGGCGTTGCTCCAAAAGAGTGAGTCAGCCCTATCCCGCCGAAGGCGGGCCGTTTTCGGGCTCGGCCTAAAGTACACTGGTCCAGGTGGTAGACAAGAGATTGGTTGGGTCTCAGGCGCAGCAGGAGCGGCACAGGGCTCATACACACTGCCCTGGCCAAGAAGGCCAAGTCCCACCAGCCCTTGAGGGCTGAGGTGGTCTAATGCGCTTCCTCTTCCAGGCCCCTCCTTCACCCTCCAGGGAGGGGGTTGCCCCTCGCCCTACCCCCTCGCCTGGGTCTGGACAAGGAGGACCACGAGGGGTTACAGCGTCCAAGATGGCCTAAGATGGCTCCAAGAATGTCCACGATGGCTCCGGATTGCCGCTAATATACTTCCACGAGGCCCCAGGACAGTTCCAAGACAGCTCCAAGTGGCCACATAGCCTCCCAAGAACGCCCCCGAGAGTCCAAAAATCCAGACAAGTGAAATCAAAGAGTATTACATTCTCGCCCTGTCGCTTCCGATGGGCCTTTGAGGCCTCAAGGTGACTCCAAGATGGCTCAAGAGTGCCCCAAGTGGGGCCCAGGCAAGCCTCAGGACGGCCCCAAGAGAGCGCCCAAAGAACGCCCCAAGAGGGCCCCAACAGGCGACTTCTCAGTCTCCAACTGGGCGACGCTGTCAGGGTACCCCACCCCCGTCGCTCAAAGCCAAAATCGGTTCAAAACCCATTGGATTTGCACAGATTTTGGCATCTCGGGGGCGTCCTTGACAAGCTTTCGAGCCAACAGTGTTCCATGATGGCCTCAGAGAACCTAAGATTGCCTTCTAGGTGGCTCAATATATCCCAAGATGACTCCAGATTGCCTCCACGATGCCTCCAAGAGGCTCCTAGACTGCTCCAAATAAGACGACATCAAGAGGTTACGGAGCCCCCCAAGGACGCCCCCAAGAGGCCAAACGAATTCTAATGCCTGATGGACAAAGTGAGGCGTCCCTTCTCGCCCTGTCGCTTCCGCCTTGCGTTTGAGGCCACGGCTCCAAGAGGGTCCCATGACAGCCCCAAGAACGCCCAAGAGCGGCCCAATAGCGTCCCAAGAGGGCCCCAAGAGGCGATACTTGGGGCTCCAGAGGGGCGGGGCTGATAAGGGACCCCCCGCCTCTGTGACCGATGTCCTCCAAGAGGGCCCCAAGAGATCCCAGAGGCCTACACACTTGTCCCAAGAGGGCTCACGGCAGGCTGCCAAGATGCTCCCGTGCCAAAAGATCGGAGAAGGCGTTTGTGGTTAACTCCTGGGTCTGCTCAGGCTGATCCCGAGCTTCGGCTTGACGGCTGCCTCCCTCCAGCATTGAAGTTGGGCGCACAGCTGGATTCAGTGGAGAGAGCGGCAGAGAAAGGAGGAGACCTCGGCGTACACACACGTGCCTGTCAACCGCCGGCGCACGCGCATGGCAGCAGCCGTCTGTGCCCGAGCCCACAGGTGACGCTGACCGATATCACGCCATCGGCGCGTCGAAACGAGAGCGCAGCGCCGCGCGAACGAGTCCACTTGCTACCACGATCATGCAATCATGCACGCGCGAATGCGTGCACTGACTCGCTAACTCGCCCTCATGAGAACACACCCCGATTCCCATCCCGCAACCCACCCACCTCTGTCCAGACCACTCCCCCTGCGCGGTGGCGGGTATGCGCGGCTGCAAGAGTGGACACTTAAGGTTGCCACAAGAAAGACGTCAGCCAGCCAACTTCTTGACAAGATCTCGAGCAAACGCTGAGCCAGCCCCTCATCGTAGCCCCGTGCATGTGAACGGGTACCGAGGCCAGGCCAGCTTCCTGGAAGGCTGCTGCAACTTCTGGGGACAGCGAAGGGAGGAGCTTTCTTGATGGCTGGCTCGACCGAACTCGGGCCTCCGCTGTTCGCCAGTAGTAGTTGTGGATGGTCACCGATGCGACGACACCCCCGAGGAAAAAAAGCAAGCCGACCACGAACACATTCTTCTGCCGGAAGCTCAGCATGGCGAACGCCAACGCACACGTGATCAGGATCACCGACACCGTCAAGAACCTCTCCACAGAAGCGACAGCTGTGCAAGGAGTGCCGTGGACGGCCATCAGCGGCGGTACGGGAATGAGAGCAGGAACAAGAGCTGAAGCGGGGGCTGTGTCGGAGTTTGGGCGTGGAAGCGGCAGCACAAGGAGGAAGGAGAGGAGACCATCGATCTCCATCCTGAGCCCGTCCCCGCCAGGAGCACCTGAAGCGCACTGAGGACACATGACCCAAGACTCCAATACAAAAGAACATCAACCAGTGAGAGTCGCACTACTTGCTGGTAGGTCCCTCCTGTGGCTCATTATCTCGCTCTGTTGAACTCCACTAGGAGTCGAACCGCATCACCCAAAAATCACCATGTATTCGAATTCGCTGGGCTGAACGATCTGAGACTGACCTTCCCAGGCTTCACTTTCGGCGAGATGGATACGACACTTGCCTTGCAGAAGATCTCGCAAAAAAACTACATACCACGATCGCTATCTACGACGACGACAACGACGACGACTAAAGACGACGACGGAAGACGACGACGACGACGACGACGACGACGACGACAACGGAAGACGACGACGACCACGACGACGACAACGGAAGACGACGACGACGACCACGACGACGATGACGACGACCACCACCACCACCACCACCACCGCCACCACACCACGCCCACAAGGCCATGACTATTCAGGGGGGGCCCATCCAGCGGGAGGGGGTGGCCCGATCCCAGTAGCATTGGAGGGGGGAGGGGCCCCGTGAATATGTCAGCGCGCGGCTCAGTGGGTCCTGATGCAGTGATCCCTGCTCAAGAGTACGGCGGTCAACGTGGTAGAAGCGGCTGGTGCCAGCACTGGCCGCAGGGCGGCAGTGCCGCGTCCCTCACAGACGGAGCGCCAAACGGGCGACCCGCGGCAGAGAGCGTGCCTCTGCAGTAATGCCCACCTCTGGCCCGTCGCCGCGGCTGGAGCGAACGGCATGTCCCTGTGCGACCACTCCTCTTGCCACGAGGAATGACTCGGCACTGTCCACTGGGGACAGCCCCGTTTGCGCGAATTCTCTGCGACCTGTTCAGGCCTGTACTCAGTATGAGCCAACTGTTTCTGCCAAGCTACTTCTAGAGCCGTATTGGGGTTCTCCCGGGGCCGTCTCAAGCCGTCTGGGGGTCCTCTAAGGGCCATTGTTGGCTATATTATGGCCCTCTCGGCACGATCAAGAGCATCTCTGGCGCATTCTTTGCACGAAAGACCTTGACAGCAAAAACAAAAAAGTAAAAACTGTGTGCTTCATTGTAGACCTCCTGGGGATCCTTTTAGAAGCCGTGCAGGGCCTCTTGGTCGCCTCTTGCAGCCTTCTCGGGGATCGTCAATGTCCTCAAGGGCCATGTTGACCAATCGACAGCAATATTACAGCCGTCTCAGGACCATATTGGGCCCATCTTGGCGCCCCACCCTCCTGATATTCAGCGCGGGGACGGGATCGTGAGTTTCTGGCTCTGGAACTCATACGCACAATATGTATGTGCACATAGATGCAGAATACAATGTACGTTGGCAAACACTAAAGCTGTGTAATCCGTGTATGTGTATATGCACGTGTCTCTCGATCCCACTCTTCCTATCCCTGTTCCTCCCCACTGGTCATCCCTACCTCTCTCCCAGTCCCTGTCCCTTTCCTTCTCCCGCCATTGGCCTTTTCCATATGTATGCACTCTCTCTGTATACTGCGCCGTGAGAAAAGGTTGTCCCAATGTTCGACAGGCTGGCACTGCGTGGATCGGAGATGCCCCCTTAGGCGCGGGGAGCCTTGCACAACGTGACGGGGGTGGAACTGTGCCAGCGAGGGCCAGGCAACCCCTGGGGCTGGCATCTCCAAATAAAAGCCTACGGAGTTTGGTGCCGAAGAATTTCGAAAAAAGCGAAACAAGAGCACCGTAATTGCAAAATTGGCCAAACTTTAATCATATATGAATACGTGTGTACATTATTCCATATATATATATATATATATATATACAGATAGATATGCCTGTGTGAGAGTGTGTTTGTGCGTCTCTATACCGGAAGAAGAACATGCAACACCACCACCCATTGTCGACAAACTCCGTGAGAGTTCTGCACCTCAGCTCGTGCACGGTACACCAGTGCTCGCCGTCCTCTGTCACCTCCTGCGCGGACGAGTGGGAAGCAGGTTGGACGACTGGCGTGCACATATGCAACGAAGGAGTCACTCTGAGCCCCTGGCACCTCGATGCTGCATGCAGGGACTCCAGGGTCAGGGACAACATCTCATGGCTCACTGACCAGGGGCTCGCAAGGCAAATGACAGTTCTACCAGGCCTGGATACCAGGCAGAAGCCCAAGCTTGACTCCGTCGACCTTACCTACAAAGTACCGAGAGCGTCCAAGTTGTTGCGATCGACCTGCAGACCAGGGTCCAGCATGACGTTTTTATGCTGATGCGCTCGATGGCACTGTCCAACGGCCGGCTCCTGTGGCTGCTCCCTGCGACAGTTTCCCTGAGGCCGGTTCTGGATGCCCATCCTACGTATGGTTCCCATGGCCACCTCCTGTGGCTCATCCTGGCTTGCATGTGGCTGCAAAGGCAATTTCATACGGCCGATTCCCAGGGGCCCTTCCTACAGCGTGCTTTCGCGGGTGCGCTACTGCTTGCCACCGTGCTTCCATGCATCACACATGCGCCTAATTTCATGAGTACTTGCATGGATGCTTCTATGTCACGGCTGCGATTGGTCGCTTGTGTGCTTGAATGCATGCTTGCTTGTTCGGTTGACTGTCCGCGGGCTTACTGGCATATGACACTACGTTCATTCCGTACCTGACTGTTGGCGTGATCGCATGCGTACGCATTTGTTTTCAGGACCGCTTGACTGCTAACATACTTGTACGGTTGCATGCGTGCGTACATCGTTACTTGCTTCCGCATGCCTGCACAATTGCTGTGAATATTGGCATGCATGTGTGAATGCTTGCCTAATTGCAGGCTTGCGCGCCTGCTTGCAAGCGTGCTCGGTTGAACACATGATTGCATGCGCGCGTGAGCAGTGATGCTTGATTCATGCACTGATGTTTGCTAGCAGCGCTAATCGATTGCGTGTCAGCTCCCGGTCATGCTTGTATGCATGTGCGCGTACTTGCATGCTCGCTTGGTTGAGTGCACCGTTGCATGATTTACTGCTCGTCGATCTCTGTACATGCTGGCTTGCCTGCCCGATTGCATGCTTGATTGTCTGATTGCATGTTTACTTGCCTGCATGCTTGCTTGCCCACGTACCTGTTTCCGTGCATATGCGCGTGCGTGCATGCATATACCCGGGCGTGCGTGCGTGCATGCATGCATGATTGGCTGATTGAGGTGTTGCATGCCTGTATGCTTGGATTGAAGAAACACAGAGGGAGCCAGGCAGGGTGTGACATGACATCCGTAAGAAGAATTGCATATTCATGCTTTGGGTGAAAAAAACAAACGCGAAAACAACAAACTTACATAGAATGGCGACACAGGTCCAGTGCGGAGCCGCAAAGGGTCGTCGCTCCTTCTTCGTATCTTGCATGTCCCTTAAGATCTTGATCTGCCACTTCGCCCAGCCGTAGAGAGCCACCTCCCGCTCCTCATCCTGCCCCTCCCCCTCCTCCTCCTCCTCCTCGCCCTCCTCCTCCTCCTCCCGCACCCTCTCTTCCTATTCCTCGGCCATCGCTCGCCTTCCCTCGTCCTCATCCTCCTCCTTGATTGCACTCTCCCTCCACCCCCCGACGCTGGTGGCCTACTCCTCCCCAGCTTCGTCCTCAACGTCCACACGTCTCCCCGCTCGTCCTCATAATCTTCCACGTCTCCTCCACCTCGTCAGCATCGCCATCCTCGTCTTTCTCCTCCCTTCGCTTCTTATCCTATAATTAATGTTCCCCGCCCCGTTCCCCGTTTCATCACTTATCCTCCTTCGCATCCCCTCGTCCCCCTCTTGTTTGGTGTCCCTCGCCTTCCACACTCTGGCGTTGGTGGCCTCCTTGACCTCCTGATCATATTCCTCCTCCTCCTCCTCCTCATCCTGGGATGCCTCGTATTCCTCCTCCGCGCCGTCCTCCTTTTCCTCCACCTCCCCATCCTCCTCATCATCTTCCTCGTCCTTTTCTTCATCATCATCAGAGAGCCACTTCCCTGCCTCCTACATTCATCTTTCCCCGCTCCCTCCTCCCTGTCCCGTCTGTCTCTGCCTTGCTCCCTGCATATGTTGGTTCCCTGTGTTCTCCTCGTTACCCCTCTTCCCTCGCCTTCTCTTCCAACTCTTCCTCATCGTCGTTCCCCCCCTCCCCTATGTCTATATCACATTGTCCTCCGCGTCCTCCTCCTCATCATCATCATCCAGCGCTCCACACAAGCCAGAGATCGACTTTGAGTTCGCAGGCCAGGCAACTGCACTCGACGACGGACCGGCTCGTTCCGAGGAGCAGCCGGCAGCAAAGCAAGGGAGGGAGCAGGAAGGAGGGCACCACCACCGACACGGAGCTGACGGAGAGGA